AGAAGGTCTTCTACAATTTTATCGGTTGCCAGTGGCAACGCCTCGTGTTGCCTCTGAAGCTTCGGACCAACTCCTGCGCGTTTGCTTCTTCAAAGCATTAAAGAAAGAAGAACGGATTGAGAATAAAAGGATGAAAATGTGGACGTTGCGGGACGAAGTTAAAGGGAAAGAACAACCCTCCTGTCGATAAGAGCGAATTTTCACCCGCGGAAGAGATTTCCGTGCTGCGAGGTCTTCAAAGGAAACAGTGTTCATTGTTTCTTTATTTACGTGTTTATTTATTTATTCACGGGGACAAAATAACCTTCTGATATATCGGTTAATAGTCTAGATTAATTTACTGCACGTATTCTTCACATTTGGGGAAGTGTGAGATAAAAATTAGATGTGGGGGAGTTTTAGTCAGTTTTCTATTCTAAAGTTTTCTTCAGTTTTCTATTCTAAACGTGTTTTTATTAAAATTACTAACATTAATTTTAACTTTAATTTCAGCTTTACTAACATTAATTACACTCGAGAAGTTATTAACCAGGGAACTGATTGATAGTGCATAATTTTCTGTCAGCAACTTTATTTTTACAAATTGTTAGGATTAAAATTAGGGACAATTTCTTTTCCTTAAGCTTCATTTTTGCTTTAGTTTAGTTTAATTTTCAGCAGACTAGTCTGTGGTACATTTTATACGGCACAATTTTTGTTTGAATTAATTATTCTATTTTTATAAATACATTTTTAATCATCCTTGTATACACAAAATTTTAATACGGTAGTAAAATTGTTGACAAGCTTCTCTCTGTCAAAATAGTCATCAAAAGGTATAAGGTAAAAGGTACGCTAATTCTGTTTCATATTTCACCTAGTGAACTCTCATATTTTTCAAAGAATATTTAAATGATCGGGAAAGTTTCAACACAGTTTCAACAGCACGCTTGAACCAGTCTTAATAATTGAAGGCTGCGAGCTCCTAATTAACCTTCATTGTCGATGGAATCATGTTATTTCTTCGAATAGGAGTGTGAGATCTTTCTTGGAACTTCCTCCAAAGTTGAAGAAAGACTTTGAATAATTTTTTTTTGCCGAATATCACGTTAGGTTTTGTAAAGGAATGTTTCATTGTGGAATTGTGCGAGTTCAATTCCTGGAATCCATTTTGATTTATTCATTCTTACCTCGAAAAGTATCTGATTTATTGTTTCATTTTCTCATATTCATCATAAAATAAGTTTTTTAAAGTTAATGTAACAAACTGTAATACTTTTCCTGACATTTAATATGTTTTACATTAATAAAATGTACTTTGTAGCAACAAATTATATAATTTTGCATTTGTTGTTGCTTACAAATAGAATTATTTCACTTTTATCTTCCAAAGTATTTCGTAAGTTTGCGCAATAGTTCAAACTTCATTTGTTTTCATTTACTGCGATTAATTTTGTTTTCCATCTCTGGTGCATCGTGCTATAATTAAAATTGTACAAAATAAATTTAATCAAGTACTTTCGTAATATTTTCGAAATTATTTTTTATATTCAATTCTCGTACAAAATTTTTGTCGACTTTTAATGTACTAATAAATTATTTTTATTTGCAAATTTTCACAGCTATGAAAATAAAAATTTTGTTAACAACTGTTTCGAAAATTGAACGGAATTTTCTTCGAAGGAATTGAAACAGCAGAAAAGCGTTTATACATTAAAGTTGTCCATTCATTACGTTTTAAGTTATCGCAAAATAAATTCTGAAAATATAAATGTAAATTGCATAATTTATAATAAAAATTTCAGATCGTTTGCGCGTAATTTGTGAGCGAAAGTATAGGAAGAAGATGAATCAAGTTGCGAAATAAAATGGCGGTAACGTAACCACGAATCGCAAAGTTGCGAACTGTAGATGGCGCCACCTAGTGGGTCGAGAAAACATTTAAAAAATACAATTTACAATCAAATTTCTTCACCAATTATTAACAATTGCATTAAAATAAACCATACTCGTATATTATCATTAAATTCATTTCATCTACGAAGCTGTAACATTGAGAAATTCTAAATTTTCGTGACACTGTACAAGTAGAAGATTAGGACTCTAAATTAGTCATTTAATTATTAAATACGTTCAAGTTTGCCTTTTTTTAAATAATTATTTAGTGCATTTTGTGTAATTTTTGTAATTGCATGCGGTTGACTGTTGTGCAATGAATTCGTACGAAAGAAAATTTCCTCGAAAAACTGACTCGATAGATTCAGATATTAATTTAATTTCAGATAAAGCAAGATTGTAACGTTAACGATAAGGAAGTACATTGGCGTAATCGACTGAGGAGGGTCTGGTGTACTAAAATTTAGATAGCAACTTTTTACATGTAAAATTTTAGTTACTTTTGAACTTGCAAGTCACGTAATTTCTTAATTAAAAAGTACAAATTTTCAAGTTTTAAAAGACCAAATCTTCAAATCTGAAAATTCTCAATTCTTCAAATCTGAAAATTCTCAAATCCACGATTCTTCAAATCTGAAAATTCTCAAATTTCCAATTCTTCAAATCCACAATTCTTTCAATCTGAAAATCTGAAAATTCTCAATTCTTCAAATCTGAAAATTCTCAAATCCACAATTCTTCAAATCTGAAAATTCTCAAATTTCCAATTCTTCAAATCCACAATTCTTTCAATCTGAAAATTCTCAAATCCACAATTCTTCAAATCTGAAAACTCTCAAACTCCAAAATCCCAAAATTTTTAGCCCTCTAAGTATTCGAATTCCTAAATTCTCAAATTTGCAAATTTCCGAATTTCTAAGTCTTCAAGTGTTCAATTTTCCAAACTCTGAAACGCTTAAATCTCTAACTTTCCAACGTCCTAAATCTTCAAATTTCTATATTCCCAATTACTGAAATTTGCTAAATCTCACATATCCAATTCCCAAATTATTCAATTCTCAAATGTCCAATTTAAAAAATCCCCAAAATAACGTAATTCGAGAATTTTCATTTGGAAACCAAATTCCCACAAATTTCCAAACTTCGAAGTTTCCATATTTTTAAATTTACTCTCAAAATTCTTCAATTTTCCAATTCCAAAATTTCCAAACTTCCAAGTTTCCATATTTTCAAATTTACTCTCAAAATTCTTCAATTTTCAAATTCCAAAATTTCCAAACTTCCAAGTTTCCATATTTTCAAATTTACTCTCAAAATTCTTCAATTTTCCAATTCCAAAATTTCCAAACTTCCAAGTTTCCATATTTTCAAATTTACTCTCAAAATTCTACAATTTTCAAATTCCAAAATTTCCAAACTTCCAAGTCTCCATATTTTTAAATTTGCTCTCAAAATTCTTCAATTTTCCAATTCCAAAATTTCCAAACTTCCAAGTTTCCATATTTTCAAATTTACTCTCAAAATTCTTCAATTTTCAAATTCCAAAATTTCCAAACTTCCAAGTCTCCATATTTTCAAATTTACTCTCAAAATTCTTCAATTTTCCAATTCCAAAATTTCCAAACCCTCAATTCTCAGAAGGCACATACCTGCTGAGGGATGGCACTCTTATTTTCCAAGGAATCCTCTTCAGAAAAAAATTCTAGCTACGCCAATGAGGAAGTACCATAAAATGGGCGATAATAGTGAAACGAAGCGCCGTATTATATAAGCGATCAACTTTGAAAAATATTCGAATTGAAGAATAGTTAGATAAGAGTGTGTGCAGATAGGAAGATAAACATTTCGTCACAAACCGACATCGCATATTTCGTGCTCTCTGAACGATATTATTTTCCTTTTGCAATGATACTCGTTTCTGTAACACGTATTTTCCTCCGAAAAATATTAAGACAAAAGTGACAACTACTTTTCCAATTATAAATTTATTGCATCCTTCGAAAAACACTGATATACCTTTCTTTCGGTAACATTCGAATCAATATAAAAAATTTCAGCAATCTGGATTGGAAGTTTCTGTTTAAAAAATTGTATTTTGAAAAATTGCAGAAAAGAACTGAATTTTTAAATAAATAAATTGAAGAAGTTTAATTATTAAATGAAATCTGAAATAAACGTAATTGTTCTTCAACTTCCTTAACTTCACTGACAGGCAAACCCATAAAAATTTCATTTTAATTACAATGATAATTACTTTCATTGAAATGTAGTTTGATAGATAATAGTTATGTGTACTAATTTATTTTTCAAGCTTCGTTAATTTTTTACTTGAAAAATAAGCGACATACCAATTTATAACAAATTTGACTTGTTATTTCAGAAGAAAATAAAAATACACGTTCTAAGAAACTATATGAAAGTTCATAGCATATTGTAATGAAATAAATTTGTTTAAAAGGAATAAATGAATAAATGGCTCATTTCGACATCGGTAAAGTGTATCGTTTTTATTAAAATTCATCAAGGAATCTATAGAAAATAATTTGATAGCGCTACGATGAAAATAGTGCAGAATTTTCCTGGTGCTTTGGTCTCTTGATTTACAAAATGGCGCGACTTGGTCTGGGCGGCATTATGGTTTCCCCCATGCTGTAGGGTGAAACTCCATTCTGCGAAGGCACCCTTCACGTGGGGTGAACCCTCGATCCCTCGCACGCTGAATTCGAAAGCAATGGAGGGGTGGTGGTAGCAAATGAAGCAAAGCCCTTTGAACAGACCTCCCGGGAAATTCTTGGAAAATTGCATCGCCACCTTCGATTCGTTGCTGGCGTCATCTAACAACTGTGCGCTGTGGAACTTCCTCGAAAGCCGACATCGTGCGTTGGTAACGCAGTTCCTTTAACCGTATAACGGTAACCTTACCTTCTTAATGTTTCTCAGAATTTTTTAATTGCTACATCGTTTTCTTATTAACTTTTCATATCTAATTTTCTTCCTGTATATTTCATATAAATGCTTCTTGTGTATCAACTTGTTTAACTACACGAAATAATTGAAAAATATTTTTCAAGCTTCGTAGAAATTTTTGTTTTAACAATATTTTTTATAGAAAATTGTTAGTTCAAATTTACAAATTTTTTAGTTGACATTTTAGCCAATTTATAAATACACGAATTGATAAATTGAAGAGCCGATACATAAACTTACCACTTTTCCAGCCCGATTTTTTCAAACTTGCATTTAACACTAGAAGCGCCTCTCGCTGTATTGTCATTATCGAACCACTAATTCTTGTGGTAAATGCAATTCTTGCGTGTCCAAAATAATATCAATAAACGCAATGAGAATAAACAATTAGAGAAAGTATCTATTTCTCTACGAACTCAAGTACAATTATTTAAAAATTTAATCTTCTTTGTCCTCGTCGAGTTGGATCACTTTGCCCATGAACGCAGCTGTGTAATTGCCTCTTCCTGGATCGTCGAAAACGATTCTGTCGTCGATGATCCACTGGCTATAACGTATTTCCGATATAAGTTCAAAACCCACTTGCTCAGCTTGCGCTTGACTCTTGCCGCAAGTGAAAATTCCTCCTATCGCTGGCATTTTTAACGTGATCGCCTCTTGCACGCAAGCGTTCAGAAGCGCGACTTCGACTCCTTTTCCTTGATAAGACGGGTGCACGTATAAAATGTAGACAGTGACGTACTCGTTGTGACCGAACTTCTCGTGTGCCTTTGTTTGCAGAGTCAAACTGTTCCTCAGGTGCATGATCTTCTTTAGAGTTTCGCCCTCTATGATCTGGAAAATAAGGGTTTCCACTGAGGGTTAATCGAAGTACGAGAGTCATCCTCGTCAAAGTAGTGCAAGGGGTTAAACTGTCATTTGACCACTCATTTCAGTTAAAATGAATTTATAGATATAATTTCTCTTGTTTTAAATCTTTCCCGATAATTCGTAACGAAAGTGAAAAAATGTGTGCGGTTGATCTTTGGTCAGATCCAATATGGCGGATATGCGAAACGAGGCGAAACGAGGACTCGAGGCAAGCCGTTCGTTTAGCAAATTTCACAGAAAAATTGCAGATGCTAAATCAACTTTAGTCCCATTGAAACATTCAGCTAATCTTCATCACAATTAAACCCTTACATTATGTTTGTCAGGTCAGGCAGAACTAATCACAGCTACAATATTAAAATAGACGAAGTTGAAATGTTATGTCAAATAATAGTGCAAGGGGTTGATTTCGAAATACACAGTTAACAGGCAAACTAAAACAAGTACATAGAAAAGTATTAAACATATTTAACTTTCTCTCGCAATTCTCGTTTGACCTTTCAAAGTCGATCCATATCAATACCTGCACGCGATTATAGGTGTTCGTTTTTTCATCCTCGTTGTCGATCCTCAGGATCGCGACACCGACCACGCGACCGGATGTCAGGCTAGTAGCGATCAGGCTCGTAGTGTCCTTTATCCAGGTGGTTATAAGCTCCAAGTATTCGTTCACGGATGGCTGGTCCTGCAGGAACGAGGTCGCCTTACACATTGGTTCCTCGCGGAAGAAATGACGCTGAGAACAATATCGATCGGCTCGAATTACGATCTCCTTTGTCGAGTTGTGCAAGCATCGAGATCATAGAGCTACTGATAACATGCGGCTGCTGTACACAGGTATGTTGCGTGGCTAAACTTTGATCAAACGCAAAACTTCGTTGTACAGTGGCTCCCTTAGATCGATTATCTTGCAATTTGCACCCGAGGAGTCCCATTCCAGAGGCGCCAACATTCGAGCTTCCCATTCCAGCGCGTCGTCGTCGTCTTTCGCATCCATTTTTTTATTTCACTGCCGATATTTGTGATGCTTGAATATTTGGTGGCATACGCTGTTATATAGAAATGTTAAATTAAAAATTTCTATATTTTATATTTGGTAATAAATTACCTTGAGTGTAGTGACGATGTTGAATGAGATCTGAAGAATCGAGAAAAGAAAATACGCATAAATAACAACGTTAGAAGAAACCTACAAAGTTAAAAATTGTAAAATTTACGTTAAAAGATCAGTGTTAAAAATATAAAAATGTGTATTCTGAAGTTGTCTTTCAGATAGTGTTATTTCGATCAAAAGTAACTTCACTCGGTTCTCGAATTCAACAGGGAAATTACTTCAAAATTATTAGTAATTTATAAAAGATTAATTACTAATACCAGTAAATTGATAGTGAAATATCTGTTCGAAACGTGTTAAGTAACTCATGAAAATGAGGGACGGCAGAGTGCTCCGTAAAATAAGTTCCATCAAAGAAAATGACTTATTTCATTTAAATCAACGTATATTGGAGATCAGGAGACACCGATTCTATCAGAACTTGAAAAGCGCGGATGCGACCGTTGTGTGGGAACGGGTATCCACTGGTTATCGAATCGTCGACCTTCAGCTGGACAAATTTATACAAGCGATACGATTTGTTCTAGTACATCGTTGACCGAAGTATAATAAGTATTTTAAATCTTTACCGATGATTAATTGTATGCTTACGCATACGTTACATAAAGCGATTGTCACTCGGTATTTAATTACAGGACTTAAAAGCACATTCCATGAAACCGATAGTGTATCTGTCGCTTATGTAAGGTGACATCACCAAGCAGAAACACGATTTTGCAGGAAGTATTTAACTGTTACCATGAACATTTCAGGCCAACTCTTCTCAAACGGAGCCACTGTCGAAAGCCGTGGGTCTGTTCGATGATGCTGTATCTATGAGATCCCTTCTACACAAGCTTTTCGATAAACTGAACGAGAACTTAAGTTTCTGCGCTCTTCAAGATGGCACCAGCGAACTCGTAGGCGTTCTTATTGCTTCGATATTCGATAAAACGCAATGGGAATTAGCGTTGAAGGTACGACCTGTTGAAATATTTCATTAAATCATTCGAGACCGATTGCACATCGTGCAATTGATATTTCCGAGGCTATAAGACCGGTTACACACTAGGCAATAGTAATTAGTAATTATCAGTTATTCTGAGTAAAGTAGTCGTCGAGATAAAACCTTATGTTACACACATGTAATTACACACATTACAATGATTTGTTATATTATTATAACTATGAGTTAGTTTTGATTGAAACATCTGGCAAATAAATTGGCAAGGGATCGAACGATGTACTGGCAGTCGATATTTGGACCACATCATAGTAAATTATTTCTGGATTTACAGCTTCCTGGTGAGGGACTACGGCACATAACGATGCTGCGAAATTATGTGATGGCGAAGGCAATGTTCTATGAAACTGTGGACTCAAATAACCTGGTGCGTATCGACATTTTTTGCGTGAAGCTGGATCACCAGAAAAAGGGCATTGGTACCGCATTACTACGCTCCTGCCTCACTCGAGCGAGCGCTTTTGCCAATGCTTTTGTCGGAGAATTCACTTCCGGTGCTTCTCAAACCGTCGGTACGTTTGCATTGATCCTTCATTACCTTTATTATCCTTTTAAGTAAAATTTAGAGTTTATCAAGTTTGATTTGTTTTCTATATTTTGCTGATTAATTAACCTTTAATGAACATACTTAAAATGTCTTATGTTCGCAGCTAGGAGATTAAATTTCGAGGTGATCTCCGAATTACCGTATGAAAATATTGGATCTGACATACACAAGTTCCATATTTTCGAAGAGTGTTATCCTCAGAATTATTCGATCGCGTGTATGGCGGCGAAAATAACGCTACCTCTGCAGTATCATCCATCGATAATGTCCGTTTCGGTGCGCAAACTACAATCGAAGACGAAGACGAGCAAACAGACCAGGAAGAAAAAATAACACCGGTATTTTTATTTATTTTTGTCCAATATCTATATTCTATCTTCACGGTACTTGACAATTTTCGATGAAATTCGTTTTCGCAAAATTCCAACTGAAACGAATGTTACGAAAGGTTTGTGAAATGGCGCTTTCGGGCACAAGCTTCAAATGTCACGTAACATGTTTTTGTTCGATAATATCTTCAGTATCAATACCTTCAACAGCAATAAGTTCATAGGACTTTTTAAAAACGTTCTTCAAAAAAGTACATAACTCCAGAAGAACTGAAATAATATACAAATGCTAAGATTTGACTTAACGCTAAGTTTACCAGAAGTTTGAGAAATGAAGTTGAAAAACAAAGAATAAATTAATAAACATTAATTCTTCATCTGCAAAGATCACGTTTCAAAGAAGTCACCGTAAAAAATTTTTTACATCAAAATGAAACAAGGTCGTTTTGGTAGTTTCAGTGTTAAATTAATAAACCGTAACCGAGGACAAAGATACGATTTATGTTGTTTTACGCTGTGCGTTCAGTTTTACGATTCTCGACAACGATATAGTTTGTCGCGAATATGGTTAAGTACTTTTTACAGTTCGACTTTTTGATGGTTTTTATACTTCATGTTCGGCTGCATTCCGCCGTACTTCACGTTCGGACGTACAAGCAAATGTTTCCAGAAGCTCATTCTCTTCGGAAGAAGAAATTCCTTTTCTTCCACAGACATTTCAATGTTATCTTTCCCTATGCGAAGATGCTCGAGACTCTTTGTTCTAACGGGCTTCCATTTTACGGGTACTTCCTTCGACACTTTTGGAGTGGGATTGCTGGAAAATAATAGGCTGATAAGTGCATGATTACCATTAATAACGATGGCAAATAAATAAGGCACATGCCAAAACTTTCCGTATCAAAATTACTTTCTGATAAAAATCGAAATCTGTCAATTATAAAAATTGTAAATCAAACCCTTGCCCAAACATTTACTGGTTTTTATAAAAACACAATTTTCTAAATGCAAGACTTTTCAAATTGGTGAGATTAGAATATGAAAGAAAATAAATACTGTAAATAGTTTTGATTATAAACAAAATTTTACAAACACTGAGTCACGTGTTTGTTCATTTCCGTTTCTAAAAAGTAATTGGCGAGATGAAAGAATGACTTCGTATACAGGTTGTCAAATTGTGATATTGAACTGTGATCGAGTCTGACTCGATGCATAATCTCCCCTCGTTTTGAATAAATGATTGATCCTTTCGTAAGAATGTCAGAAGCATTGATTACTCACCCAGTATTAGCGAAGTTATACCAGGCAGTCGTTATAAGATCAATAATTTTGTAGTCCTCTTCGGTCGGTGGTGTTTGGTGCACCATTTCTCCAAGAGGGAACAAATACAGAAGGTCATCGGCATGCGATACTCCATAATCATTGTAAGGATCACCGAATATTACGCTGTGCGAGGTACTTCCTCGATATTCCAGGAAGTAATAATACACGGGAGAAGATTGCTTCTCCAGGTATTCGAGCACCGCAGTTCGGATTCCGTAAGTGAACCAGGCGTCGCTGTACATCTGCAACAATATGAAAATCATTGATCCACTGCATCGATAAAGCGTTTTTGTTATTATAAACAAACAATACTCACGTCGATGACTTGGAATTTCGTGGCATTATCGATCGGTTCGTCGCCAAAGTAGAATTTTCGTATTTCGGACGACATGCTTCTCAGGTGGCTTTTGGGGCACGTATCTTCATAGAGCAACGTCACAGGCGCGATATTTAAGAAATCGTCGTTTAATCTCTTTATTAATTCTCCGTTGTTTCGCCCGTATAAACCTAATGGCAGAAATAATGAGCAATTAATTTGAATGCGGAAGAATAATTACAGTCGAGCCACTGTGTGTTTTATTAAAATAAAATGACCAGTCGTAAATTGAGTGATCCTCTTAAAGTCTTTTATTCTTGTAGTCTTACAGTTTTATTACTTTTATAGTATTAACCACTAGCTAGAATATAAATACCTGGAGCTTTGAGGGCTCCTTCCTGGGACGTGAATCCTGTCATCCATGGAATGTCATCCAGACGACCATTCTGCGTCGAGATTATAGGATCCTCCGTCAAGAATGCACCAGGATGATCTGGTTCGATTACCGGTTTAAAGGGTATCATTGGGGAGTAGCTGAACACCTAAGGTGAAACAAAAATTGCGCCATCAATGCATGATTTATAAAAGTTAATTTTTCGCTTCAGCAAACATTTCAGCATCTTGCAGTTTATATGTTACCTAAACATAACTGCGTGCTATTTAAATATAAGTATCCTATGCTATCGTAATCCGACTTTTTCACGTAATAGAGAAGGGTATTTTAAAATGCGTTCCCATAAAGTGAGGTCTCGGATTGCGTCTAACACAGGAAATCTGAAAAAAGTGTAATCAGTTTTCCACGAGCAAACTTTCATTTTCGTGTTCGAAGGAACGGTCGCAGGTGTACAACGTAATATCTTGATTATCGAGAAGATCGAAATGTTTCGTTCGAATTTTTCGATAAATCACCGTGCACGCTATACAAACGTCACGTTTCAAAGTTAGTAGAAACTTGATGGTGGACAAACGCAGCAACCGCCTCGTTTTATATACGCTTTCACTTCCAGCAGGAATAACATACTTCCTTGCCGTGAGATCGGTGTACGCATTCTGGTATTTTCCTCCTGACCTTGTTCGTGTGAAAAAATACTGTGCATGTGCTACGATTAAGAGAAAAATCTAACTTTTCTATAGAAAATATGATAACTAATGGCCAAGAGATTTTGCCATGTAGGAATATAGGGATTTAGGAATTTTACCATGTAGGAATATGGGGATCTAGAGATTTGGGGGTTTAGAAATTCGGGAACATTTGGAGTTTCAGATTTAGGGATATGGGAACTTAGAGATTTTGTCATATAGAGATACGGTGATCTAGGGAGCTTGTTCTATAGGAATATGGAGATTTAGGGATTTTGTCATGTCGAAATGTTGGGATTGAGGAATTTTACCATGTAGGAATATGGGGATCTAGAGATTTGGGGGTTTAGAAATTCGGGAACATTTGGAGTTTCAGATTTAGGGATATGGGAACTTAGAGATTCTGTCATATAGAGATACGGTGATCTAGGGATTTTGTCATGTCGAAATATTGGGATTTAGGAATTTTACCATGCAGGAATATGGAGATCTACAGATCTGAGGGCTTAGAAATTTGGGAGCGTTCGAAGTTTTTTGTACTTGAAAATATACGAATGTGGAGATCTCGCAATTTGGCGGATTTGGAACTCTGAAATTTGGGAATTGCAAGACCTTGCAATTTAGAGATCTAGAAATATGAGAACTTGAGGATTCAGATATATACTAGGTACGTGGGAACCTAGAAGACTAGGAAACCTATGAACTTGGTGATTTTAGAATTCGAGGACTTTAGATTCGATAATCTGGAAATTTGTGAAAGTCCAGCAAATCAATTTTGTGACTCGTTGCAACAAAAATTTAATAAAATGGAAAATTTGTAAATGTATATATTTATTTATATGGCCAAATCCTTGATGAAATTTGTAAATTATTTAAAGTTTTAGAAAATCAAACTCTAAAGTTTCAATATTTAGAAACTCGAAGTACAACAATTTGAGAATTTACAAATTTTCAAGTTTATTACACTTATTCGAGGGAAGCCTTCGTCGCATCCAAGTGTACATTCGCGAAACTGGTTTTCCGAGATCTCGGAACCGCCGTGTATTTATTAGTCACAGCTACGAGGAATTTGACGAGGTAAAACAATTTCTGTAATACATCCGGCGGGGAAATCACAAGTTATTCTACGAAATGTCGTTGCGATCCGTTGGAAATTTGATCGAGTCGTGTCGGAAAAGCAATTTCGCAACCGGTTGCACTCGGTCGATTGAATGAATAATTATTTATCTTAACGACCGCTGATTGGAATGTTGCTTAACCTATTAATATATACATCCCAAGTTCTTATTACTTTTTTACTCTCATACCAAACATGTCCAATACCAACTACCGTCCATAAATATCCGGACACAAGCGAAATATGCATTCGCGTTGCATGAAAGTTATTCAAGTATCTGCAACAGTAACTAAAATCGATTTTTTTTCTGCGAAGGTCAGAATACTGGAACGTTTTTCCATTGATAATTCTCGTTTGGAACTCATATCTCGATGGAAAAGAAGCTACAGACGAGCTAAACCGAAACTGTCGAGTGCATTGCGTTACCTTCATTCTTATCTCCATTGAGGGAACCTAAACATCTACCAACAGTTTACAAACACTTGAAACATATCGAAGAACCCTCTGAATACGTTCTGCACCATAGAAATGAAACACAGTAGAAATTAAAATTTTGTTTAGAATCGAAAGCGTTTCATTAGATTCACAAATTTGGACTTTGTACTTCTGGACATGAATTTTACTTTCACACTTTCATTGTATAATTTGTACTTAAAAATTAATTCTATTACGTTATGACACCTCAAAAAAAGATAATAATAATTATTACAAATGATATGATAACCCTAAATACCTTTCGTACAAAGTTCAACTATGTTTTGTGTAACGAAACCAAGTGTCCGGATACTTATGGACGGTAGTGTACGTGCATGTCACGGGGAAGTCCTATACGTGTGACGTGCACGTACGCGTCAGGTAGCTAGGAAAGAACAGTTTTCCAGATAACAGGTTTTCCGTGATTTTGTGGAATCTTTTTGAATTTCAAATGTTTCTCACAATTTCATAACTGTTTTTCCTTTTACGTACTCGGAATTAAATATTCGTCACTAATGTGATTCATTTTGTGGGATTGTTTTGAATTTTAAATAGTTTTTAACACTTCACAACTGTTTTTCCTTTTGCAAATTAAATAGTCGTCACCTATGTGATTCATTTTGTGGTATTGTTTTGAATTTCAAATGGTTTTTAACCATTTCACAACTGTTTTTCCTTTTGCATATAGCAAATTAAATATTCGTCACGAATGTGATTATCATTTTGTGGTTAATAATCGTTTCGAATTTTAAATGGTTTTTAACCACTTCACAACTGTTTCTTCTGTTGTGTGTTCGAAATTAAATATTCTACATGTGTCTACCAGTTTGTGCAATCGTTTTGAATTTCAAATGTTTTTTACGATTGTACCTCTTGACGATCCTTTCAGTTCTTTCTGTTGAAATAATGTTCGTAAGCAAATATAAACTGATGTGAGCATTAGGTACTCTTTTCTTTGGGAAACGTTGTACTTTGTTTGAAACCGTTACTCGTGCACAATAGAAAAAATAATAGAACTAAAATCCCAATTTCCCAAAGTCCCAATATTTCAAAATCTTAATTTTCCAGAAATTCAATTTTCCAAAGTCTCAATACTAAAAAATTCTAACTTTCCAAAATCCTAATTTCCCAAAATCCCAATTCTCCAAAGTCCCAATATCTCAAAATTTCAATTCACAAAATTCTAATTTCCCAAAATTCCAATATCTTAAAATCTCAATCCTTCAAAATTTCAATTTTCCAAATTTCGCAAATTCTCACTTTACCAAAGTACCAAATTATCAAGTCCCCAAATCATGAAATCACTAAATCGTCAAATAACCATATTCCCAAATTCCAAATTAAAACTCTCAAATGCTTTCAAATATCCAAATTTCCAGCGATAAACAATCTGCAAATCTTGTAAATCTTTATTTTCCTTCGATTTCTCCTTAAATCGCGTAACTATCAAATTAAAGTTTAACCGCGTGGGAAACTCGGTTAACAAGAGTATACAAAGTACACCTCGATAATTATACAATACGGCATACCTTGGCATTGAAATCGCCTCGAATGAAAGACACTCGCGTTCGTAAGTTGATTCTCATTATATAAGCACGTCGATACAAGGAATGGTGTGAGAATAATAGTACTATACGATTTCATAACTCATAATTACGCTATTAATGCACGCCATGATATTCCTGTATTCCCAGCTAGAAATGAATGCGCCACTCGTGTTTCCCATTTTAATACATTATGCGTTTACCTTAATTATACCAATTATTAACCTTTCGCACATTGAATGAATTTTCTTCCGTAACTTCGATAAATCAATTAATGAACATTTAACATTTTCACGATTCGTATCACGTTTCTTCTTCCTTTATCATCATTAATCTTTCAGTATTTATTTGTACTAATTACGATAGAATAGTTAATCATTTAACTTTTAATCAGTTAAAGTATCGTGTCACGCATGTAGCACATCACAGTTCAAATGTAACAAAAATAAATCGTATTTTCCTTGCAACTGAGTTTTCAGTTCAGTAATAATTTTCAGTTACAATTTATAATTAAAGATCGCTAAATTCAAAGTATGTCTAGCATTTTAAGGCTTGTTATTTTTTTTATTATTAGGACAATAATTGTTTATGAGTGACGCAACTGTTGAAAAAATCGTAGGTTGAGATGGCGAAGCTGCAGAACATAGTGCAATTAGCCTGCCTTTTTTATTCTTTTTTTTATTCTAATTATAATATTTTTTCTTGGACTCTTTCTCTTGGACTCTGTTACTCTTTCGATTACTCAGTCGGTTTTCCTGCTGGAAAATTTTTTTTTCTTTGGAAAATTGGAATTTTGTTATTTAGGATTTTGGGATATTGGGACTTTGAAAAATAGAAATTTTTGAAAGTTGGTTAAGGAAAGGGCTTAGGTGAATACAGCCTTCTCAAGATTTTAGATTTTGGGAAATTATCTCCTTCAGAAATTGAGATTCTAGCAAATTCCAAATATCAAGAAATTTTTCAAAGTTCGCATCAGAAGTTCAAATTTTTAGACATTCCGATGAAAATTTCACACTTTGTAACGTAGAATGACAATTCGAAATTTGTATTAAAAAATTGAACGGTAAAAATTGAAAACAATAAATTTCAAATAAATTTATGAAAAATATTAAGAAGAATGTATGAAAATATTGCTTGGCTTTAAAATACAGGTTGACTCCAAGTTTCCACAACGTCGCCCAATAATTTCATAACTGATCCAGTTTTCTCGCGGAACATGTACTAATATGCAAATAAACAGCAAGTTCGTTTACTTCAACGCCCCGTAACTATTCGTGCTTACAAATTGACATTCAGATTAATAAATCATTGCTATATTTCACGCACATTTAACAGTCCAAGGGCAGTGTGGTTTCACAAATTTTTTTATTTCCGAATCGTTCGGTATGTTTATCTAAGCATGAAATAATAAAATCAAGTGTCTAATTTGCATGCCAGTAAATGCACAGATTTCTAACTAATCTCATCTGAGCCAGGGGATAAACATCGTAGCTGAATCGTAGAACAATAATTAAACTGATTATTCAATCATTTTAAACACGAGGTGGTTGATCGTCGGATTAATTCGAGTAATAATAAATCAATCGCATTGTTTGCCGCATCGTTTATGACACCGACAAATTACTTAGTCTTTCGTAATTAATTCGCGATAAATTACTCAGTCTTCTGATAGAAATTTCAATTTAAATTTCGAAGTTCAGGACAATTAAATTTGACTTTGAAATTTTAAACGTGATTTTTCTGAAACGAACTTCAGCTGACAAAAACCTGTTTGCCTTCGAACTTGTGAGAAACTTTCGAAGGTTTTCTTTCTTCTTAATAAATAAGATCTTTTTTTAACAAAAAAGAAACGGATGAAGGAAAATATGTTGAAGGATACTGGGTTTTTTGCGCAAGTATTTTTAAAGATATCAGGGACGTGTTTATGATCGTATTATTCCATTTTTATTGGATTTATCGTTCTTTCATTTTTGTTAGATTTATTGTTCTTTCATTTTTGCTAGATTTATTGTTCTTTCATTTTTGTAAGATTTATTGCTCTTTCATTTTTGTCAAATTTATTGTGCTCCTACTTTTATCATATCTATTGTTCTTTCATTTTTATCAAATCTATTGTTCTTCCATTTTTATCAAATTTATTGTTCCCAAAATTTTTATCAAATTTATTGTTCCCAAAATTTTGATCAAATTGATTGTACTTTAATTTTGTATCAAATTTTTCCTTAATTTTCACCAAATCTATGGGTTCTTAATTTTTTATCAAATTTATTGTACTTCAATTTTTTATGAAATAATACTTGATCTCACGAAATTTGTTTTACTGATTCTATATTATATCTTAAAGTTTAATAATTGTAACTTACTTGAATTGTACTTCAATATTGTACTTCAATTTTTTATGAAATAATACTTGATCTCACGAAATTTGTTTTACTGATCCTATATTGTACCTTAAAGTTTAATAATTGTAACTTACTTGAAAAGCACGATCGGTGGCGATGAGATCTACAGCATTTTTGGTGCGCAGACACGCGATCAGTTGTTTCGAATCCGTCGAAGGACAACCCAAAAGTTCAGCCACCTTTACTGCTTTCTTTTGTGCTGTACCCGGTTTCGCCAAAGTCCATGAACAGTGACTGGCACCGCTTTGTGAGATTGCACGATGGAAAAGCCCTGTATTGAACCACATAAACAAAATTTATGGAAAAAATTTTTTTTTGTGTCACAAACTTATTTTATTGATTTACGTTCAGTTTTTAATGCCACCGAGCTGTTCTGTTAATTCAGTTTCAACTTTAAGTGTCATCAAATTGTTCTCTTGATTTAAATTCAATTTTTAGTGTCACAAAGCTATTTTCTTAATTTAGATTCAATTTTAAGTGTCATAAAGCTGTTCTGTTGATTTATGTACAATTTTTAATGTCACCGAGCTATTTTGTCGATTTAGGTTCAATTTTTAATGCCACAGAGCTGTTCTGTTAATTCAGTTTCAACTTTAAGTGTCATCAAATTGTTCTCTTGATTTAAATTCAATTTTTAGTGTCACAAAGCTATTTTCTTAATTTAGATTCAATTTTAAGTGTCATAAAGCTGTTCTGTTGATTTATGTTCAATTTTTAATACCACCAAGCTGTTCTGTTGATTTATGTTCAATTTTAATGTTCCAAAGCTATTCTATTAATTCAGCTTGAATTTTTAGTATCGCAAATTTGTGTTGATCTAAAAGTTAATTTCCAGTTGTTCTTAAATTGTGCCATGTGTAACAAAGATTTCTATGAAGTTTGTCATGGCTAGCAGCGCGTTGCATGCATTAAAAATGACGATTTCTCAGAAGTTTTTCCTTGTTGCGAAATGTTCGAGCTATTACGAGTTTTATCGTCGTAGTAGAGTATACATTTTTTGTGACATTGATTATAGTTTTTAGAACGAAATAATAGATCCTCGTTAGATTGCCGTCTTCGCAATATTGGAAAGACTATAAATATACGCTATAAATCAGTTTCAATCATCACTAACCTTTCGTCAAGTTACTTATCATATGGAAGTGTACGCTGGTTCCTCCCGCGCTTTCTCCGAAAAGAGTCACACGGTTGGGGTCGCCTCCGAAAGCCGCAATGTTTTCATGCACCCATTGAATGGATTGCACTTGGTCCTTTAACCCATTGTTCCCTGGACACACCAAGTCCTCGGTGCTTAAAAATCCTAGTGGTCCCAACCTGAAAAATTGCTTGGTCATTAAAATATATCTCTTGTGATTAAAACTCTCGCGCTATTACACCCTGACATACCACACTGTATCTAGTAACCTCGTATAGTACTATAGTACAACACTAATATACCCTGTGATTACTCAATTAATTTACAATTCATTACAATTGATTTAGAAAAGTTATTCACTAAGAACAGTATTCTACTCAATTTTATTCGATCACTACTTCATAAAAATTTCAATTTATTATTTCTCAAGATTTGTCCAGATAAATATATTTGTGAGAAGAGGAACAGAAGGTCTTATGTAATTTATGCAAATCTCGGAGTTTTTCACCTGTAGTTCATGGTGACCAATACCACATCGTGGTCTAGTAGGAATTTCGGATGATAGATTCCTGAATGACCTGCACCGCAGACCCAACCGCAACCGTGGATCCAAACCATCACAGGGTATGTTACCTTCGAGTTATTCCTGTTGTTAGACAACTTTGGCGTGTAAACGTTCAGATAAAGGCAATCTTCATCGCCTACGATTTCCTCCTGATAAACGTAGATGTTTCTTTGAACGCAAATGTTAGCATCTTCCTTGGCTGGTCGTACGCCATTCCATGCCGCTGCTGGTTTTGGTGGCTGCAATTATAGATATAATCTTATGAATTACGGTGGTGAAAGTTGTATTAATACGACATACTTCAATCATCGAATGCTGGGTCAATCGTGACGAGATACGTTATGGGCAAAATGTACAGTATCATAATAATTTTGCTGAAGTTGTTGTCTATTTGTGATTAACTGGTTTCTTGTGTGCGAAGTATCACAAGTTTCTGAGGTATGGGTTGGTTTAAAGTGCAATAGAATGGATTTGGTGAAAGAATGGAAAGAAGAAAGAATGGTATAATCAAGTAATAATATTAATGTAATGTAGTAATTTAAGTACATAAAAATATTTTTACTGTAATATAGTAATGTAAATAAAATAATAATATATTTATTAATAATGTAGTAACATAATAATGTACTCAATACACTTACTAAGTAACAGTAACATATTTTAAGCAAATATAATCTAACCTAACCAAACCGAAACTGATTTGTCATTAATCGCACCCTGTTTTACAAAGGTCGCTGTGGATGTTCGAAATAATATTGCTAAAGTGACATGCAAGTTTTGAAAGTAGATCTATATCTCTGCAATTTATATATAGTGTGTTTATTACAATTAACATTTCTGTAAAAGAATTTTTAGAAAAAAGTTGACACGTGTAATCTTCTGGTAAATTTATGCAAGTGAACTTTATTCTAATCATGGAATGATAAGATAAAAAAACTACTTTTTGTAAGTATTTGGATACGTACAGGTAGCCGGAGTTGCTTAATATATTCGCATAACTGTCGTAACAGAGTGTAAAATTACGTAATGGGATACGTTAACGAAAACAAGTTATTCATTTAACGACGAAAGCAACTATCTATTGGACAGGTATACGAAGTGAAAAAATCTACAGATTTCACTGTGATAAAATAAAGTGCATTCTTTCAGCAGAGTAGAGTAGCAGAGTAGTATTACGGTAAATATTGCAACACAAGTTTGTAACACATTTATGTGCAAGTTTTCAATTTAGTCTTTCTATTGGTTCATTGACGAAATTAGTATGATATTAATGTTACCGTGAAAGACCGAAATCTGGAGAATGTCACCGGTGAATGTCAACATTCACATAGTCGCTTGGTGTATGTCCGAAATATTTGCTAAATACCCTTATTTCTGACTTACACCGGTAAATGTCGACATTCACCATGCACTAATGGTGAATGTTGAACATGTCGGAGATTTATATTTTCTTCTCCGTAATTCAGTCGCTATAAAACGTCACAAGGGTGACGTAACTTTTTCGCTTCTCTTTCTGAGAGAAGAGACCAAGAATTTAAAACACATAGTACATTCTAAGCATATGTGTTCTTCCTCCGTAGCCTATTCTGGCGTGAGTTTCATATAGTATACTGAACAATTCTTCATTGGTAACATAATACTGTATATTCGTTTCCCCTGATTTTAATGGTACAATTAATTTCCTTTCATCATTAATTTTTAAAACGTCAAAACGTTTTAATCGTCTGTAATCCAAAGGTGTGTTGCACTTAGTTTTAGCAGAAACCACTTCAGAAAGTATTTTAGAGTACTTTTCTTGAGAAAAATAAAAACAATTGTCTTCTCGTTTACCCGCAATTAATGCATTTAACTTTTCAAGAAAAAGATCACGATTTACTGCAGTATCCATTCAGTATAAATTATGGTATTGGAAAAAAAATTAAGAAAACGTTGCTCGCATCATCAAAGCTTGCATAAGATTGACAAAGCTGACTGACTCACAGAAGAACACAGGATTTGGCGGGAGAGAGCCAGTCGCTTCTTTCTCGGCTCCTCTCTTTTGGACCTCCACCAGAGCATATCTGTGATTGTTGACATACACCGGTGAAGGTCCGAATGTACAAGAATGTAATAAAATATTCGGTCTTTCACCGACGTATTTGGTAAATGTCGACATTCACCGGTGAAAAATCAGCAACCAACATTCAATTTATACCACTTGAATTAAAATGCAAGTGATCAAAAAGTTAAAATTATTTTTGCAAGTATCTCAATTCATCGCATGACCGACAATTAATTTATAGCAATTGTTCTAACGACGGTAATTATTTTCTACAAGCAATTATTTGTGCACGTAATAATACGTAAAGAAAAATAAGTAAATGTCTTTTATATAAAGAAATATATGTCGATAAATTTGATATAACTGTGGGAATAAATTGCGAACTTACCTGGAATCGAAGTTCACCAAGAGGTGGCAAAGCAAAAGGAATCCCCCGAAACGCCGCAAATTCTCTACCGTTTCTGCTTTTCATGATCGTGCCCGACAATGTTCCATTCTTTATTTTTACGACAGGTTCATGGTCCTTGCTCGTAACGAGTCCGAACAGATAGACGCAACTCAACAACAGCCATAACAGATTACGACCCATCGTTTCTCAAATGAAAACTTTGAAGAGTCCTGTTGACACATCGATAAAAAAAATAATTTTATTGTCATGTGATAAACTACCTTTTTCAGTTATTAAAACTTTCGATTCATAAAATTTTTATTCATATAATAAATCGGTTAAAAATTTTCTGTAATAATGAAAGGATGACGAATAGCAAAAATTATGTTACGTCTCTTTCTTAACGGAATCGAAATGAACTCTGTAATTACTGATGCATTCATGCAATTAGTGACCATTCAAATGAAAATGATGATCACCAATGTAACGCAATATTAATTATACACTTGTAAATATTTATTTCACAGAAAAAAGTATGCATTCAACTTTAAATTTCAAATAATTGATTTCAACAACTAATTTTATTCTTTCAAAAAAATCTTCGTTTTTCTTCAAACCAAGTGACATAAAAAAACGTTCTAAGTTGTCACGTTAATCGATCCAATTACGAAGCAATTGATTAAAGCCGCTAATCGATACGATTAGAGCTGAATGAATTATTCAGTCATCGTTAGTTAGCGATCTATGGAATTTTTATTGACCATCCGCTTCAAGATTTATTTTTACTGCAACGATAATATATCGGTTTAAAGTCAGACTATAAATTTACTATTCGTCAGATTTACGATCACGAAAGTCAAGTAAAAAACAAGTTAAAAATAAACGTTTTCAAAGTTTTTAGAGACAATTTTGTGAAATTTTCCGAGAGTCAAAGAACGCTAATTAACTGTTGTTTGATTTGAACTTATGGTTCTTGGAGATAAGTGACTCTGAACTCTCGTGTGCGTGTACGTACTGTTTGCGGCTTGATAGTCTCTTAATCGACGAAAAACGAAGAAACTTTCAGGTAGCACGCGACAAAAGCGTCCGCTATCTGCGAAGGTGAAACCACAACTGCACCTGGTGAGAGTCGATGGATCGCTCGATGATGCTGGTACGCTTGATTCTTCGATACTAACGTGCACCGAACGCGAGGATCTTTATACAGGATATTTCACTAATTCCGTTACGAGATATTCTCGGTATCTTGCTAATGCACTTGATCTTGCATATTCAGTACAATATTACCTATTCAACCATATTCAACTTGCTCTGAAATTTAAATTTGCTATAAATTTGCTTTTAAATAAGTCACCTGAAGAGTCATGGACTCAGTTTTTTCTTAAGAAAGTATCAGAAATGTTCCAATAAATTACACATGTATTTTGAATATTGAGATTCGGGGATCTGAAATTCAGGATCAGGAAAGGAAAAACGTTTAAAGTATCTCTGAAGCTTCTTATGTATTTTAAAATTTATATTTTTGCGCGGGTCTGGAGACTGTAGCTGATTTGTGAGTAATGTTAATCCCTGTTTTACATCCGTATATAAAGTCAGTTTAATTTTATAATTTCGTGTAAGAATTTTGTTGTTAAATATGATGGCAAAGCTTTGGAGAACCGATATGCACCGAATTTTGTAAATAAGCTCTTTTTAACAAAAGAAATCTGTGAAAATGGTTTTGTTGCCATTCTTATGTCATTTCTACATCATCGACGAGGTATAGTATAGCGTTCAAATTGTTCTGAACACATAATTCACATCTTCGCACTCACGGAGTATATTGCAAGTAGCATAGAATAAAGATTAATAAACATATAACGGATATATAGTATATTAATCATTAAAATCAATTTTAATTGATTGAACTATGATGGCTTCAAGCATTAATCATTTGTTCAAAAATGCTAACAGAACTCTTCTTGACCGATGGCTTTGATGACAGAATTCTTCTTGATCGACGGTTTTGATAACAGAACTCTTCTTGGCCGACGGCGCTCTTCTTGACCGATGGCTTTGATGACAGAATTCTTCTTGATCGACGGTTTTGATAACAGAACTCTTCTTGACCGACGGCGTTGACGACAGAATTCTTCTTGATAGACGGTTTTGATAACAGAACTCTTCTTAGCCGACGGCTTTGATGACAGAATTCTTCTTGATCGACGGCTCCGATAACAGAACTCTTCTTGATCGATGGCTTTAACCCCTTGCCGTGCCATTTATTTATGAGGTGCGTCAGTCAAGACTAACCATTCAGGACTATAACATTAAAACGAACAAAGAAAATGAAAATGATAACATTAAAACGAACGACTATAACATTAAAACGAACAAAGAAAATGAAAATGTTCTAAGTATTTTATATTCAGGGATCCTTGACAACGCAAATTATAGTTGGATCTAAACTTCAAGTTGAAGAGTATTCAAAATTTGAGTAACATTAATCACATTTGAGTTGTGAGTGCGTCACGAGTGAGACTCGTCAAAGCACGTCAAGGGGTTAATAGCAGAAATCTTCTTGATCGACCGCTTTGATAACAGAATTCTTCTTAACCGATGGCTCTGGTGATCACCATAATTCTGCAGGGTGTCTTCCTATATTTTAATAGTCAATAAATAATAACTTTGCAAAAATAACTGATTTTATTTTAATTTTTATTCGATTTTAATATGTGTTTTTGAATTCAGGTTTGATTATAGAATGAATAGCGAACGATTTGCTTTTTAAAATAAAATTGAATATGATCAAACGACGATAGCTTTAAGCATTAATCATTTGTTAACAAGTACAAATAGAATTCTTCATGATCGACGGCTTGATGATAGAACTCTTCTTGACCGACAACTCTGACGATCACCACAATTCTATAGAAAAACACTATCCAAAATATAGAGAGTGTTTTTCTATATTTAAAATTAGTCAATTATCTATAACTTTCAAAAATAACTGATTTATTAAAATTGATTATAAAATATGTGGTTTTGAATTCAGATTTGATTATGGAATGAATGACGAACGTTTTTCTTTTAGAAATACAATTGAACATAAATAAAATTGAATATCAAATACAAATAAAATTCTTCTTTATCGACGGCTTGAAAATAGAACTCTTCTTGACCGACGACTCTGACGATCACCACAATTCAATCTTATGCCTCGCTATCTAGCGGTAGAAGAGGGGAACTAATTAAACTACAGTTTCAAAAGTGTGTAGTTCACCCTGTTCGCCGGAGAGATGGCGCTTCTTGTTCCATTTTCGGAAGAATTTAATTACCATTGATTTTATTAGCTTAATTAATTTCAGTATAAATAACTTCAAATATTTTACAAATCTATAAAGACTCGATTTATTATATTACTCATTAAATCCAGTAACAAATAGAATGACGAACGAAACAGCATTTGGCAAAAACAATTAACCAGTACAAAATGAGAATAATTAATAGCTTCACAATTTTACCCCATATTAATTATCCTTAAATTGTTATCACCTTGATTTTACAATTTTGTTTATAATTATTCGTAAATACAAAATTTCCTTTGGAACTAGTGTCGCTTCAAACTTGCTGTCTTCATTTTCAATTTCGCAGTTTCGCCTTTAACAAAGCCACATTAAAATTCTCTTTTTAAAATAAATAATCTATTTCACAGTGTCCTCAGTGACCTTCCACCACAATCAGTAAACCAATAGTTTCGCTAGTTTTTCGATCGCAAGAATCGTCGGGTATCCCCGTGCGGTGCAAGTTTGTCGAAAGTTGTGAACACCGTTCTCAAGATTAATACGCGGCGCGAAAAGAAGAACGGAAATGTGTCCCCGCGATTTATCAAGATCTGGAGAATGTCAGTGCCGAAAGCGAGAATCTGCGACTTTCGAGGGTCTGTCATTTGTTGCAGCCGTTTGTCCTGATTTGGCCCGTTAGTCGATACTCTCGTAGCCGATGCAGTGTCTTCGACAGCCGGTCGTTCTGTCGCGAGAGCACTTCGATCTTCTCGCGATTCGAGATCAGTTGTCGTGTCATGTCCTCCACAGGATCGTCCTTGGGCATTAATATCGCCTCTCTTCGAAGTCCTTTAGAATTATCAGTGTCCATCCTTCCGTTCGTTTCGATCGAACTCGATCGTAGCGACGCAATTTCTTCACGCAATCTTTCCGTCTCCTCTCTGTGTTTCTCCTTTAACTGAATAACAAAATGTAACTTGAAACATTTCTTATTACAAAAATGTTCACAAGGGATTAAAATCACAATAAAAAAAAAGGATGTCCTCTAGGATTCGTTTCGAAATCGTTATTGTATTAAAATATAAAGATCCGTCTCTCGAGTTAGCGTCGCTTGTTAGCTAAAAGTTTAAATTGCATAAAAAAGGAGGAATACCCGGAGAATTATCGCATTGGAAAATCACGATGAACAATTTCCGTGAAGTTAATCGTAAACTTTATAGACTGAATTGTTGAAAGGCGTCTAAGCCATACGATCGAGCTTTTGTCAACGTGGCAATAAACTTTCGAACTTCCAAAGCCACAGGGTAAATAAGGAAGTTTCGAAGGGTAAGCAAGCTACTGTGTTGAAATTGCAGCTAACATCAAGATAAGTCGATTTATGTTATTCCAGTTTGTACAGCTATAAAAGTCCTCCTAATTAAACGGCTGTTAAGCCTTCGAATTCTATGACGATCGAACACTCCGATAATAAAAGTGAACGACTCAATCTTCTCAGCGGCACAAACTTTCTTGCAGAGATTAAAATATCGTAAAATTAGATCCAATTTGTAAACGATACCTTCCGGAAACATTTTATATTTAACACTCTTATTCGATTATACGAATTCACCTCTTTGCAACAATTTATCGAAATGATTATTTAACGAACGATAAATAATGTTTAAAGCAAAAAGCGATTAAAATTCGATGTAGAATTCGCGATTACCGTCTTGCATTCGGAGCCTGCCCGAACAAACACAGAAATTTCAGGTATGAAACGGACGCACATATTCGCAAACGAAATATTCCATTAAGTTCGCCATTATCAGAATTATGTATCAGACTTAAACACGCCATCAAAACAGAACGGAATTATTTGAGTCGGTATGCGAAATATATTAAAGTCCTTTTTGTATAACGTACACCGATAAAAATCAATTGAAACGGCGGAAAGTTATTCGCGCAATTTCGTTCGGTTCAACGACACGCGTTTCGATCCTCTAAAGTGATTGCGAAGGTAACTTCCGGTGCACGAAACTTAATTTGTTCCGAGGTCCATCGAAGCATTAGTTTCGCCTATTTGCACCAGCTGTTCGTTGATTAATTAACGGTATTAACTGGCTGTTCTGTACGGCGCGTTAACGGTACAAGAGACGATAGAAATTAGCTACTGTTTAAGCTACTATCAGCTCTTCGTGTAGGTGATTGCGTATCTGTGAATTAACTGGCTACTCGATTAAATTAATTTACGCCAGTACTGTGGAGTTTACGAGCGACAATGATTTAAACGCAAAAACACTAATCGTTAAAAAATAGTACAACTATTTCTGTTAAATATGCTACTATGAATTTTTCTCTAAATTATCGTTCGAATACGCTGATTCATTGTTTGTTTGTGAAGTTCTATACGTAATGGAAATTTAATCAATACGTGAATCGTGATCAAAACTGTGACAACGTTTGTCCCGTTTTGGACTGTTTGTTCTAAAAGTAACTTCATAAATTGGAATTGAAATATGGAGGAATTTGGATGTTAAACAAATTTTCAAACTCAGCTATTCGTACTTTCAGATTTCCAAATTTTTCTTTTGTAAAGATTTTCAAGTAAAATTTGCTATTTTGTAAATCTACTAATTTTTAAATTTAGCAACTTCAATATACAAGTGAGTAATTCCTTAGAAGTGAAGAATTGAGAAATTTGCGAGTACAAAAATATATTTCTGACTTTAAGGTTCAGTCCAGAAATTCTATGTCTTCAAATTGTCCTCCACTATCCACTTTCAGCTTTCAAGTCCATAACGTAGACCGAATCATTTAATTGCGGGTCAAAGATGAACCGCCCACTCTACGTATTAGAATTAAACAATTTACCCGACACAAGAAATCGTAATCGGATCGCGAAACGAACTCACCGAGTCATTTTCCTTTCTCGATTCGTCCAAAAGTGCCTGGGAACGTCGTTCTGTCTCGAGGCACGCATCGCGAGTGTCGATGATTTCCTTTCTCAGTCTGATCACGGTTTTCTCCAACTCCAATTTGCTCTGTGACAACGTAGCCACCTGACTTTGCAAAATGTTGTTTCCACCGGCTGCAATGAACGTTCGAAAATAAGAACACTTCTGGTCAGAACTTTCCTAGTACGTCCGCATCGTTCAACCCTTGCCAAATTTTCGTTCATTGGCGAACTCATCAGAAGTGACCTTGTTAAACTTCATCAGAAATCTTGTGACTCGAAAATGATTCGTGGTCTAATTACAAAAATCTGTCTTTGAACGTTAACGTCTTTGACCATCGCTGCAATCTTTTGTGAAATATAACGATTTCCGAATAATCATGTTTTCATTTTTGTTCGTTAATAGGTAAATACGTTTCTTTTGTGTGTATGTTTGCATCAATAATTTTGTAACAGTGATTGCTACGTCTTTTTCAGTTTCAATTTACAAGAAACAGTTCTACGCATTGTCTCGCGTTTCGCCAGTATCTTTTTACTTACTCAAGTTCGATATCTGTCTTCGCGAATCTTCCAGTGTTTTCTTCAGTGTCTCGTTCTCGCGTTTCACGGTTATGTTACTCTGTTTCGTCGACTCGACTTCTTCTTTCACTGCGAATCAATATTTCGTAATTCGTAAATAGCGTTAGGGATTTTTGTCAGTGCGAGCGACGAGGGAGAATGGAGCGATGTAAATACGATGGAAGATGTGATATACTGAGAGAGATAAAATGTGTGGGAGCAGTGACAAAAATTTTTGTAGGAGCAGATGATGATAAAACTGATGTTATTTACAAAATAGATTACTGTTAAAGTAGGTTCTTAAAAATTGTTTCAGAAATTGTGTAACAACATTTCAATGTTAGACAGGTATTAAAATTATGTTATGCTAAAAAAGAGACTGCATTTATTTTCACATGAATTTTTCATAAAAAACTGACGATAAACCTCTATATCTAAATTGAAAAATATGAAAGAAATATATCATCTATAAAAAATATTAATACTTTTTACTTATTACTAAATTAATAAATATTATTTACTATCAAAAAATGTTTCTGGCAAAATAAATACCATTCTAATACCTCGCATTGCTTTATCTAAGCCTAATAATTCTAACAATAATTCACTTCCACAACTACGTTCCCCATTTTATAAGTAATTTTCTACTTAACTTAGACAGGGAAATTTCTCAGCCAAAGAAAAGACAAAAGTTCGATAGAAAAGTAGAACGGAGAAGAAAGAAGTCAAGAAGACGAAGGGTAATCGAAACGCTGACGTCCAAGTGATGGACAATTCGTGAAAGGAATACCTAGCCGAGAAACCTGCCATTTTCTAACGCGTCCTCCAGTTCGTGGTTTTTAGCCTGCAAAATGTCCATCCGTTTCTCTTGCGTCATTAAATTCGTCTGTAACTCTCGAATCGACTTCTCGCGATCTCGCTCGATGGCCTCTATTTTTAAATCCTTGTCCGCCATTTTCTTCAGCGCCGTTTCGATGTCTTCGCCGATGGCGTTGGTCAGCTTCTTCATCACCGACCACTGCGTCCTCTCGTAAATGTTGTCTTTGCACTCGTTTCTGAAATAATCGTAATTTAAGCGAACGAACAGCAACATCTGTTCGCGAAATCTTTTTTCCCATCCTTGCGGGAAAGGATGGTTGAGTGAGATTTTATGGCGTCGAGGGAGACGTAACATCTTGGAAATTGATTTTTTATGGTTGCTGAGAAATTTTAAAGGTCTTCTATGCTCGTTCGACGGTGAATCTTATGTTTATTTGACGTTAACGCGAGAATGGCCGTTATTGATGGAACTTCGTAATGGAGCTGCAGAATTCATGAATACTTATATTGTGTCACTGATCAAATATTCAGTTTTAACATCATAAATGCAATTCTGCGTACGCTCGGATGCAATGTGTGTTTCAGGTTTTGTTAAAAAGGACTCTCACCATTTTTTATTCTTTTTAGGAACAATGTAAACTTGAGAGTTTTTTTAACATTTACAGAGTTCATCTTTCTGTCTTTTTATTCCCGGAAATTTCTCAAGAAAATTAAATAAACATAGTTGTAAGACGTCAATCTTCATATCCCCATTTGCTTACGAACAAGACATATACATATTTACATCTTGTTCCTAAATAAATAACTGATTAAATAGAAGATCTAAATATTGAAGTTATCGATATGAAGATACATATATCTTGTCTGTAAGACATTTACATAAAATTTTAATATATTACCGCCACGACACGGCACTCATAAAATATTTCGAACCAACAAGCGTATCAAATGTTTGAATTATTTGTAATAACACGGTAGTCAGAAGAGATAGCAGGTGAAAATATTGTCAGGTTATACAATGTTGATTACCGTGTCGTGAGATATTGCCAGTACCTTTGTACAACGGCGACAGAAATTAATTTGTTCGTGACGAAGACGTGCTCGATCGTGTTTATCACTTGAAGAACAGCTTCGCCTGCTATCCCGCAACTTTCGCAATAGTTCATGCTACCGCCAGCTTGACAACTTCGAGAGACTTTGGGTGTGAAGCACTCTTGCTCCTCGTGCTCGCTATTTTTCACCTGTTGACGCGCTGATATTTTTCGTGAGCATCCTCCGATCGGATCAGGAATAAAATGAAATGATCGACCTCAGTATCATTAAATTTTTACAAAACGTGCAGTTGTAGATGTGTATTCTATTTCATTAATTTCACTCATATTTATAGTACCTGTATAGAAATAACTTTGAGTGTTGCGACTTGTAGAATGTTAAAATTTTGTGAATAAATGTGATGGTGAATGAATTGCAAATTATTGCTGATGATGAACCCTTGATTTCTTTTGGGGTATAATGTTGAACGTTTTGTAAAAATATTTATAGCGAGGACTAAAATCGATCATTTTGACGATTACTATCGTTTATCAATTCGAAAATTGGATATCTTTGTTCTCGAGACTTTCGCTAGTTTCTTGTTGTTTTTTCATCTTGTTCTTTACTTTCTCATTCCCTATGCTCTATGTTTTTCTTTCATCTGTACTTTACTATTGCCCTTCTCCCTCACTTTGAAAATGTACATGATGACAATGTCACTTTCTTTTTCAAAATTATACCTTTGAATATGGAGATTATTTGAACAAATAAAATTTAGGCAAAATGTGCGATAAATATCTGTAGTTTGTAATTAATATGTTATTCTATTAATTGAATTTTTTCTGTTCTGCAAGTTGAATGTTGTGAAGATTAGAAAATTTGAAATTTTTATATTTATAAATTCTATACTTTCTAAATTCGCAAATTTCTAAACTCTTACGTCCCTAAATTTCGAACAATGTTTATATTTTTATTTGATTTGTTTTACACACCATCTGACGAGATATCGATTCAGGTATAGTCTTCAATCGATCCCAGACAAGTCGTATTAGACTGGCCATCGAAATATGATTAGCTCGATTAATGTATGCTGCTTCTTTGAAAAAATCGTCCACGAAGGGATACTTGTCCATGAATTCTACGATCAAACGCAGAACAAACTGTATTCTGCAACGAAATTTTCTTGTTACTACAATACAATCATTCTACAACCATTGTACATCATTCTACAATTTGTTTCTTATTTTTGCATTTTTAAATTATACAACGATGTGTGAAAAGGTGAAAGTTCATTAAACAGCGTTGTCAAAATAGGAACACTTGAGACACCTATTCAATTAACTTCCAGGACAGCTGGTAATTAAAAATAAGCATTCGTAAATTAGTCTCTCAACGAAGTCTTCCGACATGTTCTTAACTAGAAAAGCCTCCTTTGTATAATGGTTCGCAGAATGAAACATTAACACTCGGTATCTGGCAGTTTAACACTAAGGAAACAGTCAAGGAAGGTTGAAAACACTTGCAAACGAAAATATAGAATTCTCATGCCTTTCAATTTTATTTCAGTAAAGAGTTTTTGAAAGAATGGCACCTACAGCCTCTTTTAACTTCCTCTCTAAATGATATTTTATCCGATCATTGTATATTTGATTGGTTGAATATATATATTTCATTTCAGCATTTATTTACTACTTAAAATAAATGAAAAATATATTTGTTTGCACTGTTGCAATTTTATCGAGAAGCCCTTACTTGATCTATTTAAATTAAAGAGTCGTTAGGTAAAAGAAATTAAGAAGTGCAAAGGTTTAATCGAACTACGTGGTACGAAAAGGTGGTAGAAACGCAAGTTGTACGTTTCACACGGTAAGACGTTTTTGTTTCGCGAATTTTCAGCGAATTTATGCAAATGTACAACGACGTCGAAAAAGGACTCTAAGCAACCTGTCGTAAGCCAGCTCCAGAAGAAGAATATAGAATTCCCCTGCGGTTCCCTCGTGCTCCTTCACAATTTCCATGGCATTTATGTCCCTCGCGATCTTCGTAGGGAATTTCCATGACAGATGTTCGATACCACCGACCCAAGAATATATCTCGTTCGCGACACATACACATTCTCTGATATCCGCGATGATTGACGTTACCAGAAGCTTATTCAGTTTCGGCATGATTACGTGAGCTGCCGGTTATTGAAACTCGTTCTGCGACAATGCAGGTTAAGATCGTGGATCACTTTGAATGCCGTTCAAACTTACGAAACCGTGACCGACTCGACATCTCGATAGTCGACAGATTAATCGTTGCTGACTTTACGGGGATTTCGTTGCTTGCTTGTCATCGATGTAACTGCCGTTCTTGTATGCGGTGGACAAACTCTCTTGGATTCAACCCCCTGTCATGCAATATCGTGTCAAACTGGGGACGCACGCTGGAGATCATATGCGACTCGTGTTTTCGTCGTAATTGAATTTTAGGATCAATTCCAATTACTCATAAGCAAGGATCGTTTACAAAATGTTACTTTAATTTTCTTTATAAGCTTTGATATTGCAGGAATAATTAGGTATTCTTGTATGACGCAATTGGTTAGAAAATTTTAGGTTAAGAGGTTAATAATCGTTACACAAAACCTCTTTAATGGCCGCGCGTGTACGCAGACAAACTAAACTTAACTTTTAATTTTCTTTACTCGTTTTGATATTGTAGGAATAATTAGATGTACACAATTGGTTAACAAATTTTAGGTTAGGGGTTAATAATAATCGTTAAACATTCAACGTTCAACTAAACGTTGAAATTCCCCGAATATTGAAATCCCAAAACCCTAAAATTTCTAAATCACCACCGACATCAGAAAGCAGAATAATCCTGAGTCCCCAAAATTTATCGTGATCCAAGCCGACCCATAAAAAGCAAACTGCATTGTTTGATGAGAATCTGAAATCGGTTCGCATAGGTAATTTCGTTCGCAAACGTGCAAGTGTAATTGTTCCTCCGAATGGAACAGTGGCAAATCATTTAACCGAGAAAACTTTGTAGGACTGGATAATCCGCGAACTTCTGGAACTGTTTCCAGTTCTTTGATGGAGTCGTGAGTACGTTAATCTATCTACGATTTTCTAGATTTAATCTTTATCGGCCTCGACAGGAGCATGGAAATTACCGAGTGTCGACTTACCCGGCTATCAATATTCCCGCTGGTATTAGATCGCACGACGGTGAAACTGTCGAACGAATTAGTTCGTTCTTGTTTTAAAACTTTGATTGAGTTTTCACGGGTTGAAACTGTCGGATGGTAGCAAGAACTGGACTTCGCTTAACGATAGACAATTTGCACCGTTAAGCTAGTACTGAACTTCGCTTGAATTTCTCTTTACTTTTCCGAGTGCAGTGGTAATTTTTAATAGTTCAATTATACACTATTAATTTTTGTGGAAATTTGAAAAATTTTATGGAAATCTTGAGGATGGATTTTATGTTATTAATTTCTTTCGAGATTCAACAAGTTTTGTGGTATTATTGGGGCTGGACTTTTCAATATCGCGTGTGGCAATATAACTAGAGGTACATCGAGTGATGATATTGTGCGTGGCAATATAACGCGTTGCAATTCAAGGTTGGGAATATAACAAGAGTTGCTGCTACGCGTGGTGAAATAGTAATAGTGTGGTAATAGTGTGGTGATAATTTGCGTGGCAATATAATGCGTAGCAATGTCATGCACCACAATACAACGCGTGGCAATATAATGCGTAGTAATCTCACGCGTGGTAATTTCATGCGTGGGCATCGATTTGCAAGTTAAAGAAAACACAGTACCGTCTACATTATATGTAATTTAATTGACAATCTTTCGAAGAAAATCGATAGTGCGCATGACTCGTAATTAAAGACGAAAGTCGAGGAAACGTTGAGTATCTTAATTGTAACGCGACGCCAGTTGGTGCAAATGAAACTTTCTTAGTTCATACACAGACGGTATATGTATAGAAGCATTTCGAGTGGGCCTGTTGGTGCTCTTTGATATTACAGATTCAGAATTTAATTTGCACGAGTGTGGTTAGCGATAAGGAGCGCAATTATCTTCGAGATTCTATGGGTTGCATCGAGTGTTTCAGAATCTCATGGTGCCATAACTGCAATTATTACGACTGATTAAAAACTGTGTAGATGATAAGATTGGAAAGAACCGAGAAAATGAATG